TTATTTTTGATAAAAATGGTTCAGCCTATATAGAAGTTTTGCCATTAGAATTACAAAGATTTAATAAAGGAAAATAAATGTTAATAGTGATTCATTAATCTAGGAATTGAAAATTACTTAATGGAGACAAATAAAGGCTAATAATGATCCATTAATCAAAGAATTGAAAACTACTTAATGATTTATTGTAACTGAAATTGAGGCATCTAAAAGTCAATCAGCTATACACCCTCTTGGTCTCCCAAAGACTGATAACTAAATTTTTAATTGGGCCCTTATTACAACTTGCAATAAAACCAAACTAAAGTCCATTAATTGATTGATCCAAAACACAATTTTGTCAACCAACAATACTTGTTGAAGAGTTTCCTTTGTTTCCCTTGCTTTAGCCCTTATCATAGGTCATGTTCATATCATTCTCTCCATCTTGAAATCGGATTCATCATCATCTATATTAAGAAGAGATAAGTCTGACAAATTAAATGTAGAACAAACATTATACTCACTTTTTATGGCTAAATAACTCTCCCTCACTTCAAGTGTTTCACTCTTCTTTTGATCACTCTTTTTCTTTTGAAGTATTTCAATAACGCTTTTTTTTTTCTCTCTTTTCTTGAAGAAAATTTTCTCACACACTTCTTGTGGACTCAAAGGTTTGAACACAATCTTTTTGTCTTGGTGCATGAAAGAGAACTTGTTGGTGAACCCGTCATGATTGACTCTTTTATCAAATTGTCATGGTCTCCCCAAAAGTAAGTGACTGACCTCCATAGGAACAACATCACAAAGTACCTTATCATTGTATTTTCCAATGGAAATATTTACTTCAACTTGCTTCCTTACTTGCACCTCTCCATCCTTACTAAGCCATTGAAGTTTATATGACCTAGGATGTGGTTTAGTAGGTAAATTTAGCTTTGACACTAATCTAGCACTAGCCACATTGGTGCAACTACCTCCATCTATGATCATCATGCACACCTTGTCATTGATTAAACATCTAGTGTAGAAAATGTTTTTTCTTTAGCTTTCTTTCATAGGCTTCAATTGCCCATCAAGTAATCGCCTATTCATTAATAAATCTTCCTTTGGAATCTCCTCCTCCTCTATGTCTTCACTCTCCTCTCCCTCTTCAACCTCAGATTCACTTATATATTCTCCCTCTCTAAGAACCATAAACCTTTTGTTAGTGCACTCATAAGCATAGTGTTCTAAACCTTGACATTTCAAATACTTCACATCTCTACTTCTTTTAGAAGATTGTTCTTCAGACTTTGAAGGAATCTTTGTAGAATAGGTGTGGAACTACTAGAAGTAACAACCCCATCTTTCTTGCCTTTGTCCTTCCAACTTGAAGATCCAAAGTTGGTAGAACTCTTCTCAGCTACTTCTTTTCTTTTGAGTTATTACTCCACTCGAATTGTTTTATGAAGTAATTCCTCCATATCAACAAACTCCTGCAACTAAACAATATCACGTATATCAATATTCAAACCACCAATAAATCGGGTCATAGTTACCTCTTCATCTTCTTCAATCTTTGCTTGAATCATGGACATATCCATTTCCTTGAAATACTCCTCAACCCCCTTGTTGCCTTGAGTAAGTTTTTGGAGTTTAAATTTCAAGTCCCTTGAATAACTAGCCGGCACATACAGTTTCCTCATGATCCTTTTCATCTCAATCCATGTATCAACCATTGACTCTTCATTTCTACCTCTCTCCTTTTGTAGCTTGTTCCACCAAACAAGAGCATAGTCAGAAAATTCCGTAGTTGCAAGTCTCACCTTTTGGGCCTCCTCATAATTGTTGCATGAGAAAACATGCTCTATTTTCATCTCTCACTCCAAGTATGCCTCCAGATCACTTTTTCCTTTGAACGGAGGAATGTTAAGCTTGATTCCTTCAAGCCTACTTGGTCTTGCTACTTCATCATTCCTTCTCCTATTTCTACTTTCTTCTTCATCTTCGGAATCTCTATTTTCCAACCGGTTCAATCTTTCATGGACCTCATTGTTATGTCGCATCATTAATCCTTCCAAATGTTGTATCAATGCTCTCATTTGAAATGGACTAATTCCTGCTTCTTGATTGTAATTTTCCTCTTCTGCCATCAATTTGATGTTCAAACCTTTAAACTGGGGCTCTGATACCAACTGATATGAATCACAAGGGGTGATTTAGGATCTTTAAGGTTAGAACCTTGTAGAAAATTTAGGAATTTAGTGATAAGGTGGAAGGAAAAAATCACTCTTTCCAAGGAAGACAACTCACAAAGGATGTGAAAGTCCTTTGATACAGCCAAGGGTTCTTGAATCACTCAAGAATTTAGGAGAATCACTATCACTAAAATAAAAGAGATAAATTCTAATAGTTCTGAATAAAATTCTACTTGTTATTTTTGATAAAAATGGTTCAGCCTATATAGAAGCTTTGTCATCAAAATTACAAAGATTCAATACAGGAAAATAAATGCTAATAATGATTCATTAACCTAGGAATTGAAAATTACTTAATGGAGACAAATAAAGGCTAATAATGATCCATTAACCTAGAAATTGAAAACTACTTAATGATTTATTATAACTGAAATTATGGCATCCAAAAGTCAATCAGCTATACACCCTCTTGGTCTCCCAAAGACTGATAACTAAATTTCCAATTGGGCCCTTATTACAACTTGCAATAAAACCAAACTAAAGTCTATTAATTGATTAATCCAAAACACAATTTGGTCAACCAACAATACTTGTTGAAGAGCTTCCTTTGTTTCCATTGCTCTAGCCCTTATCATAGGTCATGTTCACATCAAAAGGTTTGAATGCACTAATGATGTTACTATCGCAGGTGGAAGATAGAAAAACTTGATTTAGACCTTTGGTCATTCGACAAGTATTTGGGCATAGAGAATTGGGCTAGCCTATGTTAAGTGGGAGGTGAACAAAATCCTAAGACATTACTAAGAATAATGGCAGAATGGGGGAACCAGCCACTTCGAAGGGTAACCAGTCATACCCACATGAGACTAGTGCCACAAGGACTAATAAAGGATGTGATGACAGGAACTTGGGTATTATGGGGTGTGCAAGTCCCACCACATCCAGTAATATGGGATGCTTGGTGTAGTATTTAAGGGCTTGGTTCTTCCCCATTAATAGCTAGCTTTTGAGTGTGAGTTCCCCCAGTGTTAGGGTGTTTATCTCAATTAGTATTGAAAGTCACTGAGAAGTCAAGCCCTTGGGGGTTGTACTAGAATAGGGACTTGAGTATTATATGGTGCTTAAGTCCCACATAGAGTACTATGGATGCTTGCCAAGCCTCTATTCCAACTCTCAAAGATCAGTTTTAAGTCGTTAGAGGAGGCACAACGGCCTTCAAGAAGTTGAAAACAGCCATGGAAAGTCTTCTTATTTTGGCTATGCCAAATTTGAGTTACCATTGGTGATAGAGACAAGCGGTTCACATGATATGAGATTGGTGCTATTCTTATTCAACAGGCTGATCAATGAATTTTAATTAGCCAAGCCTTATTAGAGAACAAATAAGGCTAAATCAGTTTATGAACGTGATCTAATGGCAGTAGTGTTTGCTCTACATATTCAGTCACCATTTTATAATCCAAACTGATCAAGAGTTCAAAATGTTGGACCAAGGAATCCTGGCAGGAGATTAATTAAAATGCTTAACTAAATTTCTTGGTCATGATTTTGAAATTTAATATAAGCCTTGATTGTACAACAAAGCAGTTGATGCTCTATCTTGTGTCATGAATTATTGTGATAATTTAATGATCATAAATTCAGACTTGATCGAATTAGCTGAAGTTCTTGAGGATGAACACTTGAGATTTGATTATACAAGAGGTAGTGCAGAATCTAGGTTCTCACAAGAGTGAGTCATACAAGGGAGAAGAGGAATAAGGGATGTATAGGAATTGATGGGGAGAATTCTGTTATGATAGATACTAACAAACACTCAAACGGGACACATGACTGCAAGGGAGAGGAATGGCGGGTGCTGGAATTAGTGACATCTCACCCACATGGAAGTGAATATGAGTGAGGAGATGAAGGGTTAGCAATCACTTGAGTGTTGTGAGGGTGGCTTGTGGCATGAGGAAGATAAGGTTTCTTTTCTCTACATTTCTTAGTAATACTTCAGCAGTGCAGTTCTCTTGTAATCAGGGATTCAAAGTGATAGATACAGTTTCTATCAATGAAATATCAATATTGATGTCATATTGGCCCCAGGGAAATAATAAAATGATTGCTCATTATTTATAGTATAGGATTTGGGGTTTGTTTGGACAAGTTTCCCCATGAGCACTTCTTGGAAAGAAGTATAAGAAGAAAGAAATTAAATGAGCTTCTCCATAAGTTACAATTAACTCATGCACAAATTAAAAATAAGAATTTAGAGAAGTTATATGAGTGAATTTTTATAAATTAACTTATGCATAAGCTAAATTTAGCTTATGGAAAAACTCATTTTATTTTTCTCTTCTAGAAGTTCTTATGGAGAAGTTTTTAGCCCTTGATTTTCTTGAGTACATACGAAATAGCCAATATAGTTAATTTTTTCTTTCTGAAAATCTTAGTCTTTCATATTCTACACACGACATTAAATTTTTAAATGAAAGTTTAAGCAATTGTTAATATAGTCTCGACATCTTTATATGTGTAACTCTACTACACAATCTTTCTCTCTATTGTGTGTGATGAGGTCTATCCTCTATAATATCTTATATATTCAGAACTTATGCAAGGATCTATTCTAGTGTTCTCTTTGCCTTTTGATTGATTACTAATGGAAGTGCTTGTGATAATATCTTATATATTCAGAACTTATGCTTATAGAGATAAATCCATTATTTCAATTCATCAATGCATTTTTCTTGGCATGTACTGACAGATTATTTATAATGATGATTCTGTGAAACAGATTAATATTGCAAGCTTGATTTGCTTGCTTGTTTTTGGCTTGAATTTGAAGTGGTTTTAATGGGGAATATACTGAATCTGAATTCCAAGACTAGATGGAACGACTCCTATGAGGTTTTCCAAGGTGAATCTTGCAAGAGACGGAGGTTGTCATCAAACTCTTGTCAGTATAATGCTAGACTGATTCCGTTCCTTCCTGATGAGATAACAATGCAGATTCTAGCTAGAGTTCCTCGGATCTATTATTTGCACCTGAAGTTAGTTTCCCGTGCTTGGAAAGCAGCTCTTGTGAGTTCTGAACTATTTACTGTGAGAAAGGGCCTTGGAACCATGGAGGAGTGGCTCTACATTTTAACAAAAGTCAAGGATGATAAGCTTTTATGGTATGCCTTGGACCCTCTTTCTAGAAGATGGCAAAGGTTGCCACCGATGCCCAAAGTTGGGTTTGAAGATGAAACAAAGAAAGGTTTGATTTCCCTTCCCCTTCGAATGTGGAGCATGATGGGTTCAAGTATCAGAATTGTTGATGTCATAATGAGCTGGCTGGGGAGGAGAGATGCCCTGGACTGGATGCCTTTTTGTGGTTGCTCCATCGGAGCTGTTGATGGTTGCATCTATGCATTAGGAGGATTTTCAAGAGCTTCAGCAATGAAATCTGTATGGCAATATGATCCCATTAGAAATTCCTGGGCTGAGGCTAGTCCAATGTCAGTTGGTAGAGCCTATTCCAAGACAGGTATATTAAATAATAAGCTCTATGTTGTTGGAGGGGTTACTAGGGGTCGTGGTGGACTAAGCCCTCTTCAATCAGCAGAAGTGTATGACCCTCGTACAGGCATGTGGTCCCAATTACCTAGCATGCCTTTTGCAAGAGCTCAAGTGCTGCCAACTGCCTTTTTGGCGGACTTACTCAAGCCTATTGCCACAGGAATGGCTTCATACAGGGGAAGGTTATTTGTTCCTCAGAGTTTGTATTGCTGGCCATTTTTTGTTGATGTTGGGGGTGAAGTTTATGATCCAAATATAAATACATGGCTTGAAATGCCAGTCGGCATGGGTGAAGGCTGGCCTGCAAGGCAAGCTGGAACAAAATTGAGTGTTACTGTCAATGATGATCTATATGCACTTGATCCTTCAAATTCTCTAGACAGTGCAAAGATCAAGGTATATGATTTTGAAGGTGATACTTGGAAAGTTGCAGCTGGAGATGTTCCTATTCATGATTTCACTGATTCAGAATCTCCTTATCTCTTGGCTGGTTTACTTGGAAAACTTCATATAATTACTAAAGATGCTAATCACAACATTAAAGTGTTGCAGGCTGACATGCAACATGAACATACCGAGTCAGCTTTCTCCCAATTAATAATGTCTTCACCTGATAACTCAACCACTGAAGATGCTGAATCTTCAGCACAAAGTCAGGCAGAATTTTGGAAGGTTCTTGCATCTAGGAGTGGTATATCTGCTGAACTAGTTAACTGTCAATCCCTTAAAATTTGATTTTTTTTTGGGTAGGTGTGGTTTATAGTCCTGTTGTGGTTAGGATCTTTGAGTATATCTCGTTGGTTGGTATGATTGCTTATAAGCCATCAAGTTGGAGAAAATATAGAAGTTGTAAATGATTTTCATTACCATAAGAATATTTGTAACCAAGAAAAAAAAAATAGAACTACACGGAGCAAAAACGTCATTCAAACAAACACTACAAATATTATGAAGTTTTTTTTTTATTTTTTTTTTACACTTTATGCCTGATTAAATCACAGGTTTGTAGCATTTGGTCACTTGATGAAACAAACAGAATTCATTACCACTCACCATTTTGGCCTGTAAGTAGGTAATTTTGTGTTAATCATTTTGCATTATTCAATTACAAAATAAGACATCTGTAGATCATATTAAAAAAAATGCTTTTTTACTGACTTAATAATATGTTATGAAATAAATCCAATTTCATTTGAACCGAACATATGATAAGACACAGAGATCATACAAATGTGTTTATTCCATTATGTTTTTCTTTGAATCATGTCATATATTTTAATTCTTTTTTTTTTAACCAGTAAATTTTAAGTTTATTATAACTTTTAAATTAGTTTTAAATTATCAATATTGCATTGATTTGACTGAAATTGAATTTTGATCTTTTAGCAAGGTCTCAACTTCAAGACTAGAGGTAAAGAAGTGATGGATCGGGAAAATTTAGTGGTTGTCAACCAAATTTTGTCAAGTAATTAGAAGTATTAACAAGGATTTGGTACGAATTATACCTGTAATGTCATTAAAAAAATTATAAAATAAACTAGTTTCTATCCTTAAAAAATGTATTTTTAAATTTATTTTTTTTATCATTTCTAATTATATTAAATTTTGTTTTCCAAGTTACTTCCTCATAACTTTATCTAAAATGTAGTGTGTATTGACCTCTTTTCCATTAATTTTGAAAAAACATGTAGTTAAAATATTACTCATGTAGATATTGCTATAAAAGCAATGTAGAACCATGGTTCAAGTACTATAGAGGAGAACGCAGATTGTATCTCACCCCTCAATAATAGTGGTGACAACAATAGTATTTGCACCAACCTGGTGGTAGTAAATACAGTAACCATTGACTTGGACATCAACTTCCAACTACATGTTTCATAAATCATGATTTATTCCACAATCCACAGTAAACAGTGCTGGTTACACGTAAAAAACACACTTCTATAAACCAGTAGTTCATTGAGAATATGTTCAAAATGTAGGAGTAACATTTATTCAACCTGGAGTGAAGTAGCAGTGGTGGTTAAAGATAGGAATATTTAGACACATGCTATTAAATTTATAATACAGAAATAATATCATTCAATCAATATTTATCTTATTATACAATTTTCAACTTCACTAATTAATATAATTTTTAAAATAAAATAATATTTATTAAATATAAATATATATATTTTTATAGAAAATAAATATATAAATATTATATATATTAAAAAAAATTATTTATATAATTATATGAAATAAATATAAATATATTTTTTAAATAACATAAAAATATATTTATATAATTATATTATTAATATATTTTCATAAATATAGTAAAAATAAATATATTTTATTATATTATTAATATATTTTTATAAAAATATAAATAAATATTTAAAAATTATATATATATATATATATATTAAATATATTTGTTTTTACTATATTTATAAAAATATATTAATAATATAATTATATAAATATATTTTTATGTTATTTAAAAAAATATATTTATATTTATTTCATATAATTATATAAATAAAAATTTTAAATATATATAATATTTATGTATTTAATTTTTATAAAAAATATATATTTATATTTAATTATTATATTTAATAAATATTATTTTATTTTAAAAATTATATTAATTAGTGAAGTTGAAAATTGTGTAATAAGATAAATGTTGATAGGATGATATTATTTTTATATTATAAATTTAATACCTTCCTATCCTATGCCTAGTGAAGAAAAACAAAAATCACCTTTTGTTACTACAAAGTGTCTCAGTCTCTTCCTTTTGTAAACGCTTCTTTCATGGTTTAAAGTTTCTCTCTGTCCAAAAATTATCTAGGCCCTGACAGTTCATCTGGGGGAATATTTGACGTTGAGTCTAATAATGGCCAATAAGCATGGTGGAGATTGGAGGAGTCAAAATTTTGTTGGATCATATCCTCTTTCTGCCACCATTTATCCCATTTTTCTGCCAAACCTTCACCCTCTAGCATTCTCACCACCTCAGACATCTTTGGTCTTTCCGAAGGGGAGCTTTGTGTGCATAGCAAGGCCACTTGGATTAACTCCTCTACTTCCTGCTCTTCATAATTTCCCTCCAAATCTGCATCCACCAGTGTCTCCAACCTCTTGTCTTTCAGAAGTACTTTCACCTGGGATCAAAATAATGTCATTTGCCAACAAAATCCATTAACCATTGATGTTAATTTCAGTGCATAGCTAATGCAACAATAACAAACTAAAAAGCTACCAAAATGAGCTTTTAGAATCTGGAACAGAAATAGGAATACATAGCAATTCTGTATTTTGTTTCAAGCAAAGGAAGTCTTACAATAAAACAAAACCAGAAGAGGTAACAAAGAGAGGTTTCAAAACTTCAACTACAAATATATAGCAAGAATAAACGAGAACTTCTCATTCTCTGCTGAAACAAAGAATATTTTGTGCAGAAATTTTCCTTCAACTATATTATTTCCTTCCATTAGTTCATCTCCAAATTCAAAATTCTAGAAAAAAACGCATGGCTTATAATTGAACAAGAAGTACTAGTAGCATATTAGCTTTTAAACATAATACCTACCCAATCAAGCAACATGACATCATCATCATTGGCAAGTCGTGCTAAATCAAAAGCCCTCTGTCCAGTTATTATTTCAAGAAGCATCACACCATATCCAAAAACATCAGTCTTCTCTGAAGACTTTCCAGTTGAGAGGTACTCTGGTGCTATATGGCCAATTGTACCCCGTACCGCAGTAGTAACATGAGTATCTTTGTAATCCATTAGCTTTGCTAAACCAAAATCTCCAACAACTGCTTCAAAATCCTCATCCAACAATATATTTGCAGCTTTGACATCACGATGAATAATCTTTGGGTCACAATGATCATGCAGATAAGCAAGCCCTTTGGCAGCTCCCAGAGCAATTCGCTTCCGTTTTGCCCATTCAAGAGGTGGCTGTGCTTCCGGACGATCTGCAGAATACATTTTGAAATTTACAGCGGAAATTTTAACAGCTTTTGTTCTATTTAGCGGAAGAGCTGATTTGGAGTCTCTTTTTAGACCACAATAAATGACGTGATCAAACCAAATTGGATGCATGTGTGAAAAAAGTTGGCACTAACTTAGTATCGAATTTAACCTACTGATATAACATGTCAAACATACATAATTTTTATTTTACAAAGAATAAATAAGAAATCTTGAAAGAAATTTGAAATGAAAAGGCTTGCATAGCTACCAGAAAAGGATACCTCGTAAGCATGAAGCTACACTTCCATTAGCCATGAAAGGATACACAAGCAAACGTTCAGTAGGTGTCATACAAAAACCGTCCAGGCGAAGCAAATTTCGATGCACAGCCATGCTGATCATTTCCACTTCAGTTTGAAACTGCATCTCCCCACCCTGGGTGCGTTCCTCTTTGAGTCTTTTTACTGCTACAAGATCTCCATTTGTTAACCGCCCTCTATAAACCTTGCCAAATCCACCTCTACCAAGAATGTTTTTGTTGTTAAAGTTATCCGTTGCAACTTGCAGTTCGCGTAGTGAAAACCTTTTAAGCTGACCAAGGTGAACTTCAGGGTCCTCCTCAGCTGCCAGTGATGGACACACAAAAATCAGCCATAGCTATCATATGAAGCTTTAATGAGTATGTAAACAATCTTTTTTGTTAATCAACAGCCAACCTGCAACATCAAAGAAAAAATCCCGTGGTTTCCTTCTTTTACAATAAACAAGTGCAACTACAGGGGCTGCAAACAATATTGCAGCAGCCACAGCAACTACTCCAGCAATGGCTCCAACAGAACGTTTATCATTACCTACATGGATTAACAGAATTAATTGGGAAACTATAACAATTCCAAAACCTCGCTTCCCATTGAATAGCATAGGAAAATGTTCAACATTATTATTAATCCCACTTTTCTTCTTTCTTGAATATACTCTGCAAAACTCCAGGTTTCTCCCTCTGCTGAGTCAGCATAAGATCATGAGCACATGCACCTTAAGAAACTGTATACTTAAGCATGCAGAGGGTATGCTTAAGGTATCTATACCATCAAAGATCACTGTTCAATAACACTAAGTATGTCTTTCTCAATAAACTTATGTAACCTATTAATTATCAAAAGGATGAAGGAAATATTTGAAGTTGGAATGGAATGTGTATGTATCACGTTAAAGAAACATAACTAAAATACAAACAAAATAATGGAAAGTGCATTTTAGTATCCCAGATAATGTAGAGGACATTTTAAAAGTTATATTTTAATACCAACCATAACAAATACCAACAAACCTGGAGGTCCTTGTGTTGGTGCGGCAGCTGGTGGAGGTACAATGCTTATATTTTTCAATAGGGGGTTACTCCTAAAACTGTAATGATAAATAAATAGGTTAATTAAAATTTGATATCTCATCCCTTTTTATTAGTATATATAAATATAGTAATAATTGTAATGTAATGTCCCACATAAAAATTATGGGATTCTAATTTGAGGGTTATATTGGACTCTTCATAATGGTTGTTGGCTAACAGTTGTAGTGTGGTTCTCCCAATGTGCTTATGGAAACAAACAAATTTATTTGTACCAATACAAACCTGATGGGAGTAAAAGCTTGAAAAGAACCATTGGTTGGGACATCTCCTCTTAAGTTGTTGTTCGATAAATCACTAGTTTCAACAATGACCATGTGTCAGGTTACACAAAATAACACAATCTAGTATAGCAATGTATCAAGACATAGGAGGAAAACTCACAGCACTTGCAGAGTATCAACTATGGTTAAACGCATAGGAATTTTTCCTGACAAGCTGTTATTATTGAGACGCCTGGTTCATGGAGCAGAGCCATTTAGTTTGTCAGATAATAAACTAATAACAGAAGAGTGACAAGACAAAACATCAAACAATCATTAAGTAGCAAGAGTAGTGAATGTGTGCTACAATAACTTGTTGGTAACTTGTATAAGCATCTATTTCATGTTATTAAGTTGAGTGATTCTTCTCGTGAGCAAGAAGATTTGTTGGAAATCATATACGCATAATTTGGGTGCACAATCTGCCACCATTTTCGGTAGGAAGAAACTGATTTGATAAGTTTTGCTGATTAAAGATATGAGATAAGAGATAGAGGAAAGTTTGTCATACAGGAATTTTAGATTTTCAAGGTTGGCCAATTCGTCTGGAATGTAACCAGTAATCTTGTTAGAGTAAAGATCCAAGCTCACCAAGTTTTTCAAACTTCCAAGCTCAATTGGGATTTTCCCAGTTATATTATTACTATAGAGTTCCCTGTCAATGAAAGAAAAAATATTCAGATTTGGGCAGCGAAAAAGATCCAGTGAATAACAAAAATTTGAATGACCCATTTGTATCAATAGAAGTTAATATGGTAAAAATTGGACTACACAGAATTTCAAGGTATCTGTGTTATGCAAAAGCAGAGGATAGAAGAATTGATCAGCTTATGAGTTTATGAAAAAAAACTCAAATAGTTTAGCTTCCTTTTACAGGCATCAAGAAAAAATTTGGACCATTAAAATAAATTATGGTTTAAATGAAAATTAAATCATAAACCTTAGTATCAACGGTTTCAACGAGTGGAAGAATTGAACCCTCACCCTCAGTCGAATTTGACTACTAACTCAATGCCAAATCAGGCCTCAACCAACTACAAGAAACATTGACATTTGGCATTCAAGACTAATTTAGTAAGTATATCTTCTGGATTATCGAACATATGTTTGCACTACAACTTTACCAACAACAACTGCATATCAAATGGATCTTTTACATCAATGTATTTGGTCTTGTGATAACGATTATTCTTAGTCAAGTGATAGGTGCTCTGACTACCGCAAAATACAACAAGAACATCTTGTGTTAGACCAAGTTGATTAACCAAATCTTGAAGCCAAATAGTATCCATTCACACCCTCTATTGCTGCAACATGTTCTACTTTAGTCATAGATAATACAGCAACTGATTGATGTGTAGCTTTCAAACTTATAGCACAGCTTCATAGACTAAAAATATCGCAAGAAAGAGATCTTTGATCAAGACCACCACCATAATCTGAATCATTACTAGCTCTATCTTTAGTCTCATACATCTTCTCTCCATGTAACATATGCTAAATTAGGTCTAGTGCACATGAATACATAAGACTGTCGACTACACTAGTATAAGGAATATGTTACATTCACTTCATCTCTTGCATCATTTGTGGGAAAGGTCTGAAGCAAACTTAAAATATGCAGAAAAAAGTGTATAAACATTTCAACTGTCAAGAACTTTTTTAATATATTACTTTCGTGATACGAATACTTTTTCCTGCTTGACTGCCCCTATGAATCTCCAAACCAAGAATTTTCTATGTTGCACCCCGTTCTTTCATTTCAAACTCATGGCTGAGTTGAGTTGCTAACTTCTTGATCAAAGACTTCTTAATCGATGTTATCAACATAAAGGGACGAGTATATAAAAGAACTATCAGGAAATTTCTGAATAATAGTTATCATATTGATTTTTAGAATAATCATGGCTAATAATATCATATCTATTTCTTAACTTACAGGTATTGCAAACTTGGGAGTTGACCAAGCTGTGGAACCAGTTGACCAGAAAGGTTTGCATTTCCAAGATCACTAACAAAAACAAAAGTGTTTTTCAGTATATGCACAAACTGTCACGAACCAAGAAATTTTAGGACCTATGATAAATTTTCACAAAACTACAAGTAAAAATAACATAGAAATCTTACACACGGATCACGTTATTTTCATTGTTGCAAGTAACATGAAACCACGTGCAAGGATTGACAAGGGTAGAATCCCAACTTTGAAGAACATTGTTAGGATCAGCCACACTGCTCTTCAATGCAGCCAGGGCTGCACCTGTCATAGAAGTAATATTCAAGTGCAATTAAACACAATTCATATATTAAAAAGATAGGAGTAAACAATTCAGAACAGGTGTTTCTAATGAAATTTTGTGAATTACAGGAAGTAAAACCATGAAATCCAAGTTCCTCAAGTACCTTTTACAACCTACAAACAGCCAAAGCTCGTATAGGGCACCAACACACTAGAAATATCTAATAGGCAGCTATAGTATTCTCGTCGTGTTTCAATTTCGTCCTCAACTTTTTTTCAATTTATTCCCCTAATTTTTGTTTTCACATTGCATACTAACTCCTCCAGTTTTATTACTCAATCAAACATATGAGCCAGAAACAATATAGTTGAAAGGTAAGAACAAGAACATTAGACAGTAAAATGAAGTAAAAAATCATCAAGTCAAGCACCTTCTTGGTTGCCAGAAACCTTGAGCACCAAGTCAAGCACCAAAAATGCCCAAAGAAGAAACAAACACCTGAAAGATGAAATCGCTAGCTTCATGTTGCCCCTCTTCTTCACTCATGCGCATGCACTTTAATATCCCTCATCCACAGCCCCTCTTAAGTACTAATTCATCTCCATTATACCCTTCAAGCATAAAAGCAAATTGACCAAAAGAAATAGCATTCAACTCAGAGTTATAACATCACTGAATTCTGGATTATTCTAACTTCTCCTTTTCCTATATCACTTCTTACAATGGAATATGGAGCTAGCTAGAATAGAATCTTATGTGGGATCATCAACTACAAATAAAAATGCTGCAAGTAGCAACAGTTTTTGGTAGATCAAGAGAGAGTGATTCTCCAGCCACAAGCCTTAAACGTATGGTAAGTTCGGCCATGGAGAGAAGACTGGAGAGGCAAGTCAATGAATGTTGCATTCTTTTGCTGGGAAATTTCTACTTGTTGTTATTCTTTTATCACTTGTTTTTAGTTTTTTATTTTTTATTTTTATGAAAACTGTGATGAGATAGTGAGTTTTCAGATGAAAATGATGTTGAAAGAGGAGAAAGACTTTGTAGCAGTTTGAAGTTTGAAGACAGAAGTAAGAAGAAAGGGTCAAAGACGCGCCCTTGGAGACTTACCACTCACTGTCCCCACCACATTGCCCTGTGCATACGAAGAAGTTTCTGCATAATTAATTACGACATCTTCTTCTTCTGTGTTTACTTATTTGTGGTCTCACACTTGAGTCAACGCAAGCTCTTGCCTCTGCATTTATCAACTAATTCAGACTTACTTTTAAAGTAATTTTAAATGTAATGCGATTATTATCATTATTATTACAATTTTTTTATAATATGATATCGATACAAATTATTTATTAAAAAATAATAATTAATATTATCGACAATTTGAAAAAAAAATTATCATGATATATTTTAAATCTAAAGTGTTATAATTATAAATATAATACTTTTATTATTTAAAAAAATTTTGTATAAGAATTTTTAATTAAATTGTTATTAATACTACTAATTACTTTTCATTCATTTATTGAATAATTTAGTTGAACATTGAGACAAGTATATTTGTTGTGTTATTAAAATTTGATAAGAGCTAAGATGCAAAGTAAATTATTCATATCAATTAAAACAAATTATTCACCTACTTAATTTATATTATACTTGATTTTGAATTTACAGATTTGTGTATTATCTTCACGTGAGATTTTTGAATATTATCTTATACATTAATTGTATATTTAAATAAGTCCTCATCTCTGATAAATCAATTATATTATTATCAAGAGATAAAACTTAACCAATAGACTCTTATCTCTTATATATTATTTAATTTCAATAACTTGATATAACCTAATATGATAGAATATATTGTATAGAAAATATTTAAAGATAAGGTCACAAAAATATCATGACTTCAAGAGTTTCTCTCTTCAAAGATCATCTAGGACCTGACAGTTCATCTGGTGGAATATTTGAAGTTGAGTCATAAGCAATGTAAACATTGAAGGGGTTGTAATTCTTTTGAATCATATCCTCCTTCATCCACCATTGATCCCACTTTTCTTCCAAACCTTCACCCTCTAGCATTCTCACCACCTCAGACATTTTTGGTCTATCCAAAGCTGAGCTTTGTGTGCATAGCAAGGCCAATTGGATTACCTCCTTTACTTCCTCCTCATCATAATTTCCCTGTAAATCTGCATCCACCAGTGTCTCCAACTTCCTCTCTTTCAAAAGTCCTTTCACCTAGGATAAAAAATAATGTCATTTGCCAATAAGAACCATTAATCATTGATGCTAACATCAGCAGATAGTTAATGCAACAACAATAAACTAAACAACAACCAACTCAACTTTGTATATTTATTATCAAAGGCTATAGATATGACAATAAAAAACAGAATAGGAAAAAAGAGGTTTCTAAACTTCAACTAGGAATTAATAACAACAATTAATAAACAACTAGTAATAACAACAATTATATGATTTAGTTTTCTATCTTCAACCTCATAATATTTAGAAAAATACATGTAGTTGCTGATTGGACTAACTCTAATAGCATATCTTTAGTAAACATGATACCTACCCATTCAAGCAACATGACCTCATCATTAACGGCAAGCCGTGCTAAATTAAAAGCCCTCTGTCCAGTTATTATCTCAAGAAGCATCACACCATATCCAAAAACATCAGTCTTCTCTGAAGACCTTCCAGTTGACAGATACTCTGGTGCTATATGGCCAAGTGTCCCACGTACGGCAGTAGTAACATGAGTATTTTTGTAATCCATAAGCTTTGCTAAACCAAAATCTCCTACAACTGCTTCATAGTCCTCATCTAATAACACATTAGCAGCTTTGATATCACGATGAATAATCTTTGGGATACAATGATCATGCAGATAAGCAAGTGCCTTAGCTGCTCCTAGAGCAATATGCTTCCGAGCTGGCCATTCAAGTGGTGGTTGTGATTCTGGTCGCTCTACAAAAATACAATCAATATACATAAAAACATTACAATTTGATAAAAAAAATAATGATGTTTAATTACAAGAAATTTTATTTGTTTTTATTCTATTTAGAAGAAGAGTTTATGTGTATTCTCTTCAACCACATCAAATGATGTGGTCAGACAAAATTGGATAATTCTGTGAAAAAAAGAAAAAGTCCCAACAAAGGATCAAATTTAAGCTACTCGTATATCCCCAACTTGTTGACTGAATGTGCTCCTGCCAACATGTCAGACAAAGTTGAAAGAAATTTGACATGAAAAGTAAGGCTTGCATAACTACTAGAAGAGGATATATAAGATAAAAGATTTTTACTCATAACAAGTTGAGGTAAATTAGTAACAAAAAAGTCATGCATTTCAGATTAATCATGACAATAGAGTAGCCTAATAAGAATACCTCGTAAACATGAATCTACACTTCCATTAACCATGAAAGGATACACAAGCAATCTTTCAGTAGTTGTCATACAAAAACCAATCAGGCGAAGCAAATTTCGATGCACAGCCATGCTGATCAGTTCCACTTCTGTTTGAAACTGCTTCTCCTCACTCTGGATGCGTTCTTGGTTAAGTCTTTTTACCGCTACAAGATCACCATTTGTTAAACGTCCTTTGTAAACCTTGCCAAAGCCACCTTTACCAAGAAGGTTTTTGTTATTAAAGCCATCTGTTGCAACTCGTAGTTCATGTAGTGAAAACCTTTTAAGCTGACCAAAGCTAACTACAGGATCCTCCTCGGCTGTCAGTGGAGAACATAAAAGTCAGTTATGATTATAGTAATTTTCATAAGTGTTTATACTCTCTTCTTCTGTGAATTAACCAACCTGCAACATCAAAAAAATAATCTGGCGGCTTCCTTCTTTGCCAGTAAATAAATGCAATTACTGGAGTTGCAAACAACAGGGCAGCACCCACAGCAACTCCTCCAGCAATGACTCCAACAGATCTAATTCTATTGCCTACAAGGATTAACAGAATTAAATGAGATATTATAATGAAATTTCAAAACTTTACTTTACAACCTTGACATTATTATTTACACCCTTTCTTGAATTTGAACATCAGTCAAATTCTGTTAAAATACCAAACAGAAAGCCAAAACTAGCACCCCAAATGGCTGAAAAATATAGTGTGGTATTTTCCAAACAAAAGGGCAATACAGTGGTCCAACCTCATAAAAAAAGTCAATCAGTCCAAATTGGAAACTCTTCTCTAACCCTCTCCTCTCATTCCCTCAATCTCTATCACACACGTCTGTTTCTTTTCTCCTAACATAATGCTAACAACAGGCCTCACTAAGTCCAAGTAACTCTTCCCCTGCCCCCTTTTTTTTTTCTAGGATATATGCCCCTCCACACTCTAATCTTGTTCCTTTCTTGACTCAAAGTAAGGTCGTAACACACCTTAAGAACTATATACACTTAAGCATGCTGAAGAATTTATGCTAAAGGTATATACATCGCAGAAGACCAATAAGAATCAAGTTGTCCTTTTCTATAAATTTAAAGCTTCTAAAATACATAACAAACATTTGGAAAAAAATCATGCATTTATCCATTACCAGTATCTCCATTTCTCTTTGCCTTTCGGAAGCAAAGGGCGAAGGAAATGTTAGTAGTACATGGAAAAAAGGGGAGTGGCTTCAGCTTGTAAAAGAAAAAAAAATAGTAAATACCAAAAAAATTGAAAACCTTTTAGATAGCATTAATTTGGAATTGTATAACAACATTTTCAAGCACTTAGTTGCAAGACAACAATTTGAAACCAAGTGGACTCTCAGATGAAGATAATTTAACAGATATATCTTCAGCATATGCTTTTAGGTTAGGTTTTAAATTCATTATTGTTTGGTTAGTGGGAGGAAAAATGACATCCCTTTCAATATAAAACCTTACGATTAGCTTCGTAAGTCTTCCTGCCTTAATTATTCAACTTTTTCATTTCTATTCGTGAGACTCTAACAATTACCAATAAAAAAAAATTTCAACAAACCTGAAGATTTTGGTTTCTGTGTAACAGGTGGAGAAGTTGGAGTGGTTTGCTTCAAGAAAGTATTATTGATAAAACTGTAAAAATGGATTAAAGGGGTTAGTAAAATTTTGATATCCCATCCCTTGTTAATAGTAGTAATGCGTCCAACATCAGAAATATGTGAATCAGATGTAAGGTTTATACTGTCACTCAAACTATAATATGACTATTGGCTGAATGTTGTTATTTGGTTCTCCAAATGAGCTTACCATAATAAAAATTCTTATTTGTACGAACCTCATGGGAGTAAAAATTGAAAACGAACCATTGGCTGGGAAAGTCCCTGTTAAGTTGTTGTTCGATAAATCACTAGATTCCATAATGATCATGGTGTCAGGCTATACACAAAATAACACAATACTAGCATAACAACATGTATTGAAACATATAAACATAGGAGTTAAACTTACAGCACTTGTAGTGTATTAATAGTGGTCAAACCCATAGGAATCTTTCCTGACAAGCTGTTATTGTTGAGACGCCTAGTTCAAGGAGCAGAGCCATTTAGTTTTCCAGATAATAATCTATTGACAACAAACAATCATTAAGTAGCAAGTGCAGTGGGTGTATGCGATAATAAATTACAAGATGTGTTAGAAATACAATAGGCATATTTTGGGTTATAATGTGCCACCATTTTATGTGGGAAAACAAAACTTCTGAATGCTAAACAGGAAGAAACAAAATTGAAACTTAATTAACAAGTTTTGTTGATTAAAGAGATGAGAAAAGGAAAGCATGTCATACAAGAACTGTAGTTTTTTAAGGTTGGATAATTCATCTGGAATTGGACCAATAATGTTGTTCGAGTAAAGATCCAAACTCAGCAAGTTTGTCAACTTTCCAAGCTCAACTGGGATTTTCCCTGTTATGTTATTGCTATACAGTTCCCTGTCATTGAAAAAGGAAAATATTTACATATTGATAGAGAAAAAATGTCCAATAAATAACTTCAAATTGTATTACACATATGCTAAATTAGGTGTAGTCACCCCATAGCATACATAAGGTTATCAACGTATAAGCTTCATCTTTTCCTTCTTTTATGGACAAAGGTCTAAAGATAACTTAAAATGTGCAGCAAATGAAAAAGTAGTTTACAATTAATTATATTAATCATTTCATCTATCAATCACTTTTTCAATATATTTCTTTTGTTTTTTGTCATATGATCCTTAATAGTCATACATACCAAAAATTTTCTTAGCTACACTCAGTTCTTTCATCTCAAACTCATTACTGAGTTGAGTTCTTAACTTCTTGATCAAGGACTTACCATAAAGTAACAAATATATAAAGAACCATCAGGCATTTCTCTGAATAATACATTATGTACTTTTAGAATAATAACTTACAAATATTCCAAATTTGGGAGCTGACCAAGCTGTGGAACAAGTTGACCCGAAAGGTTTTCATTTCCCAGATCCCTAACCAAAAAAAATTTTCACTATAGGCATAAATTTTCACAAATTTGCAAGTAAAAATACCAGATATCTTACACACGGGTCACGCTACTTTCACCGTTGCAAGAAATATGAAACCATGTGCAAGGATTTGTAATAGAAGGATCCCAACTATGAAGAGCATCATTAGGATCTATCATATTGCTCTTCAGTGCATATAGGGCATCAACTGTCATAGAAGTAACATTTAAGTGCAATTAAAAATCTACTGAATACATCAATTTGATAGGAGTAAAAAAATCAAATAGGTGGCAAACATTCATGTTGCTTTTAATGAAATTGTGTGAAATACAGAAAGTAACAACATGAAGCTCAGGTTCCTCAAGAACTCCCCAAGCATAACATCCAAACTTTTTCAGTTTACAACCTACATACAACCCAAGCTAGTCTATACACCACAGATAATTTAAAAAGGAAAAAGTTAGTACTTTTGTCCTCTAAATTTAAAATTGGTTTCAATTTTATCCTCTAACTTGAGTTCAACTTAACCTCCTAATTTATGCTTTTATATTTCTTACTGTGCTAGTTTTCACTGTCAACTCACCACAGCCTCACCAAACACTAGGATTTTGGTATAGAACCCTACCAGATCATCTTGCCCCATTTGATTCTCCACATATAGACCGTAAAAGCACAACAAAATTTTAGAGTGAAGGTTGCATGTTAATGGGTCGTGAAGAAGAACAATCCAATTCATTCTCATTTATAGCTTGTGAAATCACTCTTTTTTTCTTATATTGGTCACTAACCTACACATACGGAACTTCTCAACCAATTTCAATAATCATTAAAAGCCTAGTACTAACTCCTTGTAAAGTTTTATGTCTCATTCAAACATATGAGTCAAAACAACAAAACTGAAAAGTAAACAATTATAAAAGAACAGAAACAGGAAAATAAAAATACAAGCAAATCAATTGAAGGACAAAATAATCACCTTCTACATTGCCAGAAACCTTGAGCACCAAGTCAAGCACAGAAAATGTACAAAAAAGAAGAAACAAACACATGAAATATGGAAGCACTCGCCCCCTGTTGCTCATCCTCTTCAATCATGCACATGAACATGAACATGAATAGTCCTCTGCAAGTTCACAACTTAGAAACACTAATAATGAGCGTACGATTGTCCCCACCACCATTTTGTGATCATACATACACCAAGTCAGCCCCAAGTCTTGCTTTGAATTTTATCAACTACTTTAGCTTTTGCTTTTCATTGGCTTAATAAAAACCTCGTTTATGTTGTTTTATGTTATCTTATTTCTCCTTGTGGGTCACTTTTGGGGATTTCTGTCACTACCATCAGACAAATAATTTCACAAATTGCTTACTTTATAAACATTAGAAAGAAGAGAATTATTAAAAAAATCTCTCCCCTTACTTTTTTCTGTATTATCTCTACACTAATATGACCGAATAACCTTTTTTACAAAAACTTATAAAATATAATAAAAGTATTATTTATCTAAAGTTAATTTATATGTAAAATATATAAGCAAATTAAAAAAAAATCAATATATTTTAATAGAGGTTTATTCCTCTCACAGCTTCTCATTTTTTATGCTTTCATTCCAAATATTGCGTGTGATTTGGAGAATTGTGAACCACGATGCATGTTAAGATCACCCACAATTATTTGATTGCTTTTAGGGTACGTTTGATAAAGAGAAGAGATGATTGTAGTTTGATAGAGATGAAAGGAAAATGAGATAAAAATGGGAGGTTAAATAGGGATATTAGAATTATATGACCACGTTTATTCGTACCATACTCTCAGTAAGATAATATATATTATTTTTGTCTCTTTTATAACAATTAAAGAATAATTACAAAAAGAATATATATATATATAATCATAAATTTTGATGAAACCTACCTTACACATCAATTCCTTTATCTCGCTCTCAATTATTTGATGAATTAGGCCATATAGCATTAACACCCCGTAACTTTCTCTTTAACATATATTTTACTTTGCAATGTCAACACAGGTCCAAAATGTTGCAGAACTATCCTTCCAGATTTACTCTCCACACTCCACACTTTTCTTCTCACACTCTATAATTATATTTGATGGACAAAAATAATTTTTCAAAACCATTGATGCAGTCCAAAGAGTGTTGTTGAAAATCATTTAAGAATGTTATCCATTCTTTTTCATACGTGTAATAAAATATTAAACTTTAAAAAAAAATTATTTAGCTGCACTAGAGCTGGTAATAGTCCAAAAGCAATCATTTAAAGTAACTCCTTTCACTAAAAACCAAGAAGCAATTAATGATGGAAGAAGGAAGAGGACTGGAATTTAAGTCAACAAGTAGGGTTCAATGACAACTGTCACTCACTCACCATTTTCACAAACACATTATTCAATTTATAAAGTAAAATTTAACAATATTTATAAATAAAGTTTTTATGCTGTATTTTATTATTATATTACTATATATAAAAATAAATAAAAAATTGAATTTTATAATATTTATTTGAGTATTAATTCTTGATTTATATATTCAATTTATTATATAAGAAAAAATCATCATATTGCTCGCAATTTATTAAATAAAAAAATTGGTAAACATGATCACTATAATAATACACATTTATGATTAATGATAATCTTTTGTAAAATTGAACTTTTCAACAATTAAAATCATACTTATCAATAAATATATCACTTAGTGGTGTATGGCCTAGAATTTATTATTTCTTTAATTATGAGGATTAACAATTTAACGGAATAATTGGTATGGTATAAAAACCAAACAACATATTTTAATTATATTAAACACAAGTAAAATAAAGTATAAGAAAATAAAATAAAAGAATGAGACATGACATCAAGTAAAAAATATACTTATTTGATTGAATGAAAAGTGACATAAAAAATAAAAAAATTATTTAATGATAAAATTAATTTATATTGATTATTTTATAAACAAAATAATTTTCTAAATTAATGTTTTCAAATTACTATCTATTTTTTAATAATATATACGTTGATATATAAATGAATCATTTTATCATTAAATCATATTTTTTTCTAAAATTATTTAAATTTAAATTAATAAAATAATATCACATTATATTAAATTATTCATTAATTTTTATATTTATGATATTTTATCAAATAGTAGTTAAAATTTTAATATATATATATATATATATATATATATATATATATATATTATAATAGAAAGTAACATTAACAAGAGAAATATTTTTTTCACTAATTTTCTTATAATATTTACTTTTTACCTCTTGCAAACAAATAATTAAAAATTAAAAAGACAATAAAATATGAGTTATTAAAATTTAAAAAAATGACAAATAAATTAAAGTTTAGAAACGAAATTTAAGTTGACTCTAAAATGGAAATTAATCCACTAACTCTGACCGTCTTCAGGGTCAAACTTCTAATTATAAAACGTGTTAACCACACTTAATTCAACAATTACATTGAAATCCAAATTAAAATGGGACAGACTGTTAAGAAAGAAACAAGAGGATAAAACAAAAGAGTGTCATGTGTGTTAGATTTTGAAATTTGTCCATACATACTAATCGAGTTGAGATAATGTTATTCTTCATTTCTTATATTTTGTTATATAATTTAATATTTAATATGTTTTCTATTTACAAAAAATAAAATATGTGTTCCTGCTAAAATTTAATTTGATTTTATATTAAAATATTATTTAAATTAAATATAAAATTTAAATGTGTTTTAATTTTGTTCTATCCATATTTTAGAAAAATCATAATAAAACCAATTAGATTAATTTATATAATTTTTATTTTATATAATTTTCAAGTATATTATAATAAAAATTAACTAAATAAAAAGTATTATAAAATAATTAATTGTAATATTTATAATTTTAATTTGTTTTTATATTTTTTTATATTTAAATTTAATAATAATAATAATAATAATATTTTATTATAAAAATTAATTTATTTATTATTATTTTACCTTTTAATATAATGATGTTACTTTTTAATATATTTAAGATTAAAATATATTTTTCATCTCTAAGTTATAATTATGACTCCATATTTTAAAATAAAAAATATTTAATCTCCCATTATTTTAAAAAAAATCCACGTACAAATTGTACATATATTATGTAATCATTTTATTTTATTAATCATGTAGATAAAAATAAATAAATTGAGTGAAAACTTAATTAATATAATCAACATGAAATTATATAAAAAAATTATATTTTTAAGATAAAATAATTTAATATAAATTATTAAATAATAACAGTGTGTAACGAATGAATGAGTTTTCATTTATTTAAAAGTATTTGAAAAATAATAAATTTAATAGTATTTTTTTATAAAAGAAAATTCAATTTTTCATTTCTATTTTTATTTTTATTTTTTACAAGATTTATCCTATATCAGCACAGCACTTTCATTTCTAATTTGCACCCACGAGACAAAAATTCATTAAATAACAAAATAAAAACATAGGAATCAAACAAAAACCTGTGCAAATAAATAATTAAGAATTTTAATCCTCTGGAAGACAATATCTATTATGGAAGAATTATAAGTTCCTTATAATGCTATTGAAAATATAATTTGTTAGATATACCTAGATTAACTCTTAATTTTTATTTTTTTTATAAACATATGCTTCATCAATATTGATGAATAATAATTTTAAGGATGTCTAAGAGTAAAAGTGACTAAAATTAGGAGAAGAAATGATTTGGTAGGATGAAGTTTGATAATTTACCTATGTTAAAATTTTTATGAATTTATGGAAAACTAATATCTTCCTAAAATTTTAACTATTTTGTTTTTTTTTTCACCATTTTTTTTTCTTTTTCTAGATTTAAGCACATTTTAATGTTTCAGGTATAAAGTAAATAATTTTCATTTTATCATAAGTGGAAATAAAGTAAGTCTATCTTTAACATTCTTTTACAGTACTTTGCCTGTAAATTGGGTTGTCGCATGTAAGATTTTTTTGGAAGAAAAGTGAATTTTGACTAGTATGATCAATTTATTGATTAGAGTTTTTGATGAGTAGGATTAAGTTTTTGATAAAATTTAGGTATTTGAAACTTTGAGGACTTGAAATTGGGGAGAAGAAAGGAAAGATAAAAGACACTGTTTGATTTAATTAGTATCCCAAGTTAAAAGATCTGAATGTAGAAAAGTAACATGATCTAATATATTGAAATTATAGAGGTTTACGATCTATATGAAACATGATTTTGTTTTAATCTCATCATTTGAATTTTTATGAATTTTACTTTGATTCGTTGAAATCTAAGTTGATAGTTAGTTTCTATAATTTGGAAGTGCTCGTGTATTATATTGTTGCACTAGATTTATATTGAATTGAGCTTCTTTGGAAGAGTGTTTGGATTCATATGGATTAAAACGGTAAAAATAGAGATTTTGGTGAGTATTAAAGGTTTTAAATTATCATATATTATAATTATAATTTGCTGACACTTAGTAATTTATCTCATGAATTTGGGGTAGTGTTAAGAGTTTAACTTTGTGTAAAATTCTATCACCAAAGTTTAATTTCACTTAGTGAATGTTATGGAAAAAGTGAACATCAAACATTTCCACAAA